ATTTTTTTTAATCTCTTTTCTTCTCTTTCATCAGTAATTCCTAAGTAGGACACTACTGCATTTGGAGAATTCTTTTGATAGGCAAATTAACTGAACTTGTTTAACCTGAATAGTAGAGGCATAATCAGTTCAGCTCAGGACAATCTATGAATTTCCCAAAATACCAAAGCTCCTCTTCTGAGATGAGTAGTAACCTATTTGCAAAAGCCTCTGAAGCTAACTAAAATTCAAAAGAAAATAATGTCTTCAGATTTGTACCAGGTGTCCTTTTCTACAAGTATGCTTACATGCCTAGTCTCACTGTCTAGCTTTCTGAGGCTTCAATAAACCTGTCCTAGATTTATAGGTTTGGATCCTTTTATTACATAAGATAGTACCAGAGGTTCTCTGTCCATTGGCTACTAATGAACTGCCATATTTTATTTTGAGCTATCTGCCCTGAAAATAAATGTCCTGGTTTGCTTCCCTCAGACCTCCTTCTCGAGCCTTTTCATTGCTGTTTCTTCATTTCTTTCTTGTTCAGTATGAGAACCCACACACTCCCAGGTAACACTCCCTCCAAAGTTTTTCTGACATGACTACAGCTTCCTTGTAGATGTTCAGGCTAGCTTACTTTCCATATTCTGTTTCTACTTCTTTCATGAGTATAAAGGTTGTTCCATCCAAGGGCCATAAAAAGGACAGAGGATTCTACAAAATAATTCTTCAACAAATGTGTATACAATACTTTTTAAAACCTGATTTTTTCAAAGCTTAATTCAAAATCCTAAAATACATTTCAGAACAGCAAAAGAAAAACTAGAATTTTTATAATTTGATAGAATTTTCTAGCCTTTTAATTTGATCTTCTGGAATTCAAGATCAGAAAAGCTACCAGCTGGCTGCTTATTCCTGTCAGAGATAAAATTACATAAGAAAGGAAAACTAAAATTAAAAAATAAATGTAAATGGAATTTGATATGTATTTGTGGATTATGAGAGGCAGAAATTGGGATTAAGTGAGCCAAAGAGTAGGATCAAAAGAACCATGTGTAAGAGCTTTCCTGACTTCAGTGAGATCATATTAGAGGTCAAGCTGGTCACAGCTTTTAAATCCCTGTGATTTAGTCTGTGACAAGATAGTCCTGATCCTAAGGATGAATATCATACTGGAAAAAAAACTGTGCCCTATGTAGGAATGAGACAAGAGTAATTTGATATCAAACCCAAAACTCAGCAAATGAAAACTGAAAAAGAATTTCTCATATCACTACAAAAGCCACCCCAGCTGTGGGAAATTTTTATGATTAAGTAAACCAATAGTGAACCAAAATCATGAAAGAATGGAGCTCTCATACAAGTTGTTCTAAAATGAAATCTCTAGATGTGACCACCAGGAAAAGTATACTTTGTTAGTAGCTAGTGAAAGATTATAACTCATATTTCCAGACACATTCAAAATCACCTGTAGCCAGTTCTGACTTCAGTGGTGATCTTAGGGCTAAATTATATTACTGAGAGACCCACCAGCAAACATCCTTACTGGGAACATTAAATATGTTTCCCTTCAAGCAGGTGAGCAGAAAATTAGTAGGAACTCTTCAGTGGTTCCCACGCAAATCTAGCTGTGAAAGAAATTTCCAGATCTCTGCTATTCATTTAACTTTCCTCCAGCTGCCAAGTAATGCACTGATGGTCATTTATTATCTAACCTAAATGTGCCACAATATAATACCTAAAACTAATGTCATTTGACATGCAGCTGTACGTCTAAACATAAAATCAGACTTATAAACTAAAGCAAGAAAAAAAAAATCTATTGAGTAACAAGTTGAATTACTACCTTCGACACATGTAAACTGGGTATTTTACAGATCAGGTTGCTCATGGCTTTATTAAAGTGCCATTTGGGGTGGAGGGGTTTCTCTCTATCTCAGAACTAAATCTCAGTATGTCAGCAGGGTGGTAGCAATGCCTCTTGATTTCAAAGTCATGATTCTGTCACAAAGAAATAAATTCCAGCATAGCGTATTGGCTCAGAGGGCAGAGCTTCTTTTCCCTGCCTTAGTTTTGTTTTGTTTTTTTTTTTTAAAGCAGTAAAGACAATAATATGCTAGAATGTACCTGGATGGTTTTGCCACAAATTGTTCACCTGGCTCATACAAAGATGAAACCAATACTCAGCTACGCAAATGCCACCCAACACCAGCAGATGACAATAGTGTCCAAATTTGCTTTTATCCTGCTTCAAAAATATTTCAGAGAGAGATAATTTATTGTTCCCACATTTGGAAGAAAAGACTCACATCCTATTTTAACTTTGATTGAGTCAAATGTGTTACAGTATAATATCCATTACTGCATATCCCCTAAAGTAGATTGAAATTCTTTTGGTAAAAAAGAAACACTTTTCCCTACGTAAGTTTGAAATGAGTGAAAACCAGGAAGTGATGATGAGAAGCTGAAACTGAGAAATCATGTTGAAAATAAACATAAAATCAATGCAAAGCTTCTATCTTATTCCCCTTCTCCATCTTTCATAGCAATCATTTTATAAATCAATCTAAACAGCCATATGATGAAAGTAACAATGCCCCCCATCAGTAAAAAAAACACTATTATACTCATCCAGGGTTTTCCCCCTTTTCAAAGTACATTTATGCAAGTGGGAATTATAATAATGGTTGGAACAAACTACCTCATGTACAGGTGCTGGGCAAGCAACCACTGAACTGGAGTGCTGCCAATACACCTCACTCTTGGCTGGATCCTTCCACAGCAGAAAACTTAGCCATAACGTTCAAATTTCACTCATCAGCCACTTCCCTTTTTTCACCCCTTACTTCTTCCTCTGCCAGTGTTTTCCTTTGAGTGTAATGGAGCTTTGTGCAGAGGTTATTGAGAACCCACTATAATTCTTAACTACATTAACTCAAACTTTGGATGAAACAAGAAGAGTGTCAATTTTAAATTCATAACTAGTGGTAGCAGTAGGTATAAAAATCTTCCAGTGTTGGAAACTCTGGCTGCCTAATACAAAGTCTTTCTTTCAGGGCATGATATTACAATTTTCTGATTAATTTGTGGTTTTCTTCTTTTCCACTCTACAAGGTTACTGTTGCATTTCTTAGCTTCTTCTCCTAATGCCTTCTCCTAGTGCCTCTGAATGTAACTTCCTGTTAAATACTATACTGTAAAGCCCAAGTGATTATTTTTTTTGGTTCTGCAACTACCCCAAAAATACTTACTTAGAAATCATTTCAGAGTGCTTATTATACGGAACAACCTGGCTAACAGAATTTACATTTCAGCTGTAATCCTTCAAAGGTGTAGTTTCTGCACATTCCTTGCTTTTTAGTACAGTGTTCCTGGCAACATCAGCTTCAAAATCTTCTCCCAGAACTGTATCTAATGGGGAAAATCCACAACTCTTTCTCACCAGGAAAGAGCTCTTCAAGAAAAGAGTTTCTGGGCCTTGAACTTCAGATTTGGCCCTTAACCATAATACTAAATTGACTGTGAGATTCTTGATGAAGTTCAGTATTAAAGGCTTTGTGCCCCAAGGTACACTTTCTGAGTTAGACTAGTCTGGCTTAGATCCACAGCCAATGTTTATTTTACACCATTTACAGATTCTGTCTCTCTGATCAACAACTGATTTGCTGAACTTAGTCACTTCAAAGCCTTGATTCACAGTATTATTGCAACTGAGCCTCTAGACTATTAACAGTTAAATTCTAATAAGACATTTTCCACTGAAATAAATTCAACAGATGGACCACAGATCAGGATGTTGAAAGACTACAGTCAGCTATATTCTTCAGTATATATCTTTTTTTTCAGAACTGTGTTCAGTGCTAAACCTGAAACTAGTCTTAATCTGGGTGGAAAATTTAATAAGCTGTAAATTTTAATTGACTACCAAATTGCTGAATCCAAAGAGCAAAAAACAAATAACTTTCACCACAAGATAGAAATTAAGTTTCTCAGTTCAAGCAACATATACACAAAGAATAAAAGTTCCAGAAATTCTAAAATTGCAGAAACATTAGCATCTTTATTTACAAATGGAAGGAGATATATAAATGTGCAACATTCCCACACGTAAAGAAATTACACTTACTCCATAAATATTTTTAATAGTAGCAAGTACAGCCAGTGTTGAGGAGGTAGTGAAGTAAAGAGGAGCTACTGTGCCCTCTTTTTTATCTATAGTGACCATTGTTGTTTCTTTAAAGTAAGGAGAAGTGTAGACAGTAGAAAGCTTTGATGCAGTTTCAACATGAAAACAAAGAAGGTACATCTACAGGACTCAAAACACTATACAAAAAATTCACATGACAAACTAGCTGTAGGGAAGCTCTGGTTTCAAGATAAAACTTGGAAAACAGAATGTTGTTTATACACTACTGCACTATAATTATTATATTGAAATATAATGCTGTTAGCATAGTATTAGTGATAAGTTAAAAAAAAAAAATAGGAACTGTCATTGACTAATGCTTACATTCTTTAGAGTACTTTTTACCTACAGGTATCTGAAAGTCTCAAAACACAACAGTTTTTCAAAACATTGTGATAAAGCTATTTCACTATTCTGATATAGCACATTTAAAATAACATTGTGTTTTAAATTTTTCAGGCCCTTGAGCAATTATGGCAGGCCTGAGCCCCTTGCCATATCCCTGGCTCTACAGGTCTCTCTCTTAAACTCTTTAAATTAGTCTTCTCAGGTAATTTGAGGTGGGTATGCATTTTTCCAGCATTCAACAGGTACAGGCTTGCAATAATTCCCATGTCAGAACTCTGGATAGGCAGCTAGGGCATTTGTCCCTGTAGCCTTGCAGCACTTTGCATGAGTTTATAAATGACACAACAACCACATTATAGTTGGAAGCAGATTATCATCTTTACAGCTGCACAGCATACTGACAGGGAAATAAAAGATTACTAAAAAGTAAGCTTACAGTGAAGATTTTACATGTTTTAATTATAAAGAGGAAAAAAAACCAATGGCTTACCTGTGGAGATGAGGGACTGAAAGCAACATTGATGACAGATTCTGTGTGTCCCCCCAGTTTATGTGAAAAAGTGCTTGAACGCATTTCATATATGTAAGCCTAAAAAACAGTGAGATTATATTTTCAATTTAAAGAAATATATCACATTCTAAAAGCACTAAGTTATAGCATAGGAAGACTAGAGATGTTCAGTCTACAGAAAAGTTAGGAATTTTTTTATAATAGTTAAACAGATATAAAAGTCATCGACATCTTAGAACTGATCTATATGATTCAGGATAATTTAGCAAATGCTTATGTTAACTGAAATAAAAAAAAAAAATATTTAGAATGAGTAACAATCTTTTTCCCTCAAATAACTAAACATTTATATATATTTCAGTCAGGTAGGTGAAAAATGACCCTCTTAAAATTTTTAAAGGCATTCTTCAGAATTTAAACCCTTTTTTTTTTTTTAAGTAGAATATGTAGAATCTAAAACCTTGGGTTCTAAATTTGAAAACTCTTATGTTTGTCACTACATCAAATAAAATTTGTCAGCTTCTACATAGGTCTTTGCAGTTAATTGAACAGCGTAGAATTCAATAGCAAATAAATAATATTATGAGTGATGCGGTTATCATCAATAAGCATACTGCCTGCCTTTCCTTTGCTAAGGAAAAAGGGACAAGTGCTTTCCAAAGAGTAAATTAAATTTAGTAGCAAAATAATTATATTCTTATTGGTACAGCCTCAAATAATGGAAAAGTGCCAATGTAAAACTGTATTAAGAAACCAAGCCAAAATTCAGTGAAAGTCTTAAACATACTGATACTACAAAAATGGCTGGATTGTGACATTAAATAAGTATTATCTTGCATAAACAAAATAGAAAATGTTTTAAAATAAATCCTGTACTATTGGACCTCCACATAAACACTTGTGAAAGTCATGTGTAGACACATGTAACTATCTTCCACTATGCCTTATCTAGTGAAAACAATTATTTGCAGGACACAGCCAGACAGTATGCATACACAAGTCATATCAAAAAAGACACATATGTAGAAAATATGCAGACTTACTTGGTACATGATAAATAAAATTTGTATCTCAAAAGAAATAATAAATTCTAAAGCATGCACAAAATCATCAAAGATGACAATCCAAACTTTACATTTTCAATAAAAAACTAAAATGTACCATTGTATTTACTAAATCTCTCCAGTTAAGACGATGAACAAGTTATCGAGCAAAGGTTATCATAAACTGAACTAAACTGTGCATAGACACTATATCAACAATATATTACTCTCTGACTTAAGTTTTTTGTGGATAGTACCCTAACAGGGGTTTAATTATTCAGACCCAAGGTAGCCAAGCTTCCCCTAGCAGAGAGCAGACCGCTAGAAGATAAATGTCCCAAAAACTTGTGGACTCAAATGACAGTGTTCCCATTTTGTGAAAAGAGTGATGGATCAATGCAGGTCCTGAAAACATGCTTAATCCCTCACTCAAGAAACAAACCTTATCAGCCAACACCAAAGATTCTGTAGTCCAAAACAGCACTGAAGATACACAGAATAGTTTTTAATGTCAAATATTCCATTCATTACCTGAATGGCAAACCAAGAGGCCAACTGTAAATCTGTCTAATTTTATCCCATTTATATACCTCACATATCCAGCCCAGGATATGGAATTTAAACTGTCTACTAGCATAAATGGAGTACCTAAAATGATGGAGAAATGTAGGTATCCATTTTTAACCCCTGGATTTTTTGTAGCATTCTACACAAATATCACCATACTAATCAGGAGAGTGGCAGAGTCCCCAGTAATTTGTTAAAATCATTGCATCCTTTCTAAAAGGATACATCAAACCCTTGCTAATTGTAAAGTCTGCCTTAAAAAGTAAGGCCTCCCTACTTTTTAAGCAGGACAGAGGTCATAGTAATGAGTATTTGATTGCTAGTAAAATAAATGCAGCCTTTTTTTTCAGTTTTAAAACATATAGCCATATCACAGCTATCGTGACTTATACCACTTCACAAGGGAATAGCTAGCTAGCTAAGGGGATCCAAGACAAGATAAAAGGGATGTAATGACACAAAGAAAAGCATTCTGATGTGTCTGTAGACATTAAATTGCTTCCTCTGGAAAGTATGAGACCATGTATTAGTAAAACCTGTATGTACACAGGAATACTCAAGTTCTTGCTGTTTCCATATAGAACCACCACAACTGGTATTTCCAAATACTTCTAGTTAGACCTTGGATTCCTCTTTACAGACATAAAAATGTTAAGAAGTAGTGTTGGTTATTTGCTTTGCATCCTAAACAGATTAAAATATTGCCAAGTAATTAGGTTTGTAACATAATAGTACACTTCAAAATTTCATGTATTTTATAGGGCCACATCCATTCATTCTCCTTCTTCCATACTGGCTTTCCATTCTTCATGCCGATGATACTATACCATAACTCAACTGATATAAAAATTATCACACCTATGTGCTAACTCAATACCTGAAATATTGTGCTGTATTCTTCACAGCCAAGCATTGTCATGTTGTATATCATCTGGCCCTACGGTCCAGACTTCCCACAGGACTTCATCCCAAGAACAGAGAGCTAGCAATGACCTTTTTACCCCAGCGAGGATGAGCTGTAGAGACTGCAGTCAAGTTGTACTTCACCACCACCACACTGTGCCAGTACAGACAACAGTGGTTATGCTCACATAATTAATAGGAATTTGTAAGTCTCAAGAAAATGAGACATGAGATGCTGTAGAAGTCCATTATCCAGGGAGACTCCAGGACAGTGAAGACTGCGTGAGTGAGAGAAGAAGCAGGAAGCACTAGGAGCTGCACTGCAATCACCATAACAGGATGCTCCTCACATCTAACTGAAGGAAGACAGTATTTGTGAAAACAGGGAGAAATCATCCTCACCAAATAGCCCCCTAAAATCCTGTGGATGTCCTGTCAAAATGGTTCAACAGTATCACAATACTGCCATGTAATGCCATGACACTTCTTAAGTGTTTGTATCATGAAAGATTCAAATCCAGTTCCTCATAGCTATTGTACTCATGTCTATCTCCTTTGGAACTGTGGGAGTGACCAAGACAGGGCAAGTATGTCAGGTTTCTTAAAACATTACAGAACTTTTTTTTTAGATAAAAGAACTTAAACAGAATTTTCCTCTTCAAGGGTACTGTCCTCCCTCCCGTCTGTGGAAGTGGGCACAGAGTAGAGGCAAAGTCAAGGACAGCAAGAGTCAAGAGCACAAAATGCTCTCAATCATAGATCTATGATGCCTTACAAATATTTCTGAGCCAAAAAGACATATGGCTCCATGTTTTAACTGGGATAACCTATCACAGAGACACATGGTGAGTGAAGCTGAAAATTTTCCATCACAATCTAGTGGCTTCCAGAACTTTGCCAAATTTATCCAATAAAAATTAATTTGTCATTCCAGGTTCTCAGTTTAAGTTGAGGAGGAACACTTATTTTTGGCTTAATCTCTATGTACCCATTCTCCTTTGCAAAATAGATGTGATTTCATTGTTTTTTGAAGGCAAATCCAATGGTTGTGAAATCCACGTATTCTAGTAATTTATGCTCTTCCACACAGTTCCTAAATCAATCATTTGGCTTATATCTTTCCTTCAAAAGATGCTATGAAGCAGTTGTGCAGCTTGAGTAGGATCTAACAAGTGCATATTCTGTTGTCTAAAAAGAGGTGTTAGCTAATCACACTTCTCAACTAATTGTACCTCAACTCATTCTAAGCATTTGAAGTCTTACCTTCCATCTTCCATGAGATGATTCTAAGCCCTGAGCTAGAGGTTAGGCTGGGATGCAGAACTCTCCTGAATTGTCACATTGTGTAACAAGATTCACTGGGTCAGAGAAAAGTAATGGCGAGCAATTACAGATAGAAGCTCACCTGTAGCTAACCACCGAAGCATTCATCAGTGTGCGAAAGACCTTTATTCTGATCTTACTACAGATGTTACTTTTGCATTGAACAGCTGCTAGACAAAACACACAGAACATGTCTGAGAAGAGAATTTTTTCACGGTACTTCATTCTACAAATCTATCCTAACAGAACTGGTGTTAAGCTTCTTTTTGATACTGTACTTCTAGCCCTATAAATCTTAACTACTCAGGTGTGGTAGTTCAGCTTCAACAGAAAAAGTGGCAGAATCTCTGACTACATACCAGACTAGTTTACTATGTTTATGGCAGCTATCATATCTTCCAGTAACTGTGCTTTTAAGGAAAGTAATAGAAAATATTTTAAATCAGAGTAATTTTGACACGCAACACACTCAAATGTGATTAAAAGAAAAATGTTGCCATAAAAACATGTATAAAAGAAGCTTCTGTTTAAGTAACTATTCGCAGATATTTAAGCTAGTCCGTGAGAGTCTAAATTCTGAGAATAAAAGTTAACTCTGTGTAAGATTGAAAATAATTTTTTCAGTAAATTTATTTTTATCTTTAATAGATGAAAAAAAATAATTGTATTTTAAAAGAAATGACATTCAGGTATTCATAAGAAGTAGAATTAACTCCAGGGGGAAAAAAAAAAAAAGTTGAAAACATGAATTCAATGACAGAGGAAGAACAGATTTTCAGCAAACCAAATGTAATAAAAAAGCAAACAAAACAGTCTAGGAAGTACTCTGCAATACCCAAAATGCATATGTGCATATAATCTGTTATAGACTTCAGCCAAAGTCAATCCCTCTTTCTTACATTAAGACTAGTCTCTTGTAATAAAAATACTGGTTCAGTAGATATTGGTATTTCCTCTTCATTTCTGTCCAAGGGTCAGCCAAAAGTAAAAATCATTTACCTGCACCAATAGCTATGAAACAAGTTTCCTGCACCCATAACTACACACTTACTTGTGTTTCCTTTCATTTCAATTCAGAAGAAAATTTGGAGTAGTCAGTTTTCATTAACCCACAATGTGAGAATGTATTTAGCACCTTACATGCATATACAAGCTTGTGCTTTCTTCTTTAAATGTGCAGCGTGAGACAGGGAAGAAGGGTGAAGGTCCCTCCTTAAGGGGAAGAATTTGTATCCAAACGGA